GATACGGTAGCGCTGAATAGCGCTAATAGCGAGCTCCCCGAACTCACCTATAGGTTGCTTTCCAACAAGAGACACAAATCGACACAAACATTATTCTATTTTTGTTCTACATTTAGTGAGTAACAAAAGTTGCTTTCCAACAAGAGACACAAGTCGACACAAGTATCATCCTATCTTTGTTACTCACTAAATATGGAAAAAGATAGAATGATGTTTCTGTCGGGAGCGTCCCGATTGACCACGGTACGATTGGACACAACTAACCGATGAAAAGAATTATCTAGTGAATTACTAGGTAGAATCAATCATTACAATCTGTGTCTAATCAGGTTTGTCGAGTTGCTTGTACTATTCACACTTTTACACCTAATGCCCGTTGCACACTAGTGAAACCTCATACAATACAAATTTTCCAAAATACGTTCTGAAGATGCTTTTAGGACGGAGGGATGTCATCAGAATATTTTTAGGACGTCCTTTGAAAATGTGAGCTGTCTGAAAATAGCTAATATCCAATAAGTTTATTTGCATTAATTGAACTTTTTACACTTTCACACTTAGTGCACATTAATTCTTTAGAGGTTCTAAAAATGACGTTATGAGTTCCGTTTGTGTTACGAGTGTAATTGCAATTTTGATACACTTTTTACACTTGATCCCAAGCAAGAGTGAAAAGTGTATCAGAATTGCATTTACACTCGTAACATGAACGGAAACATGACGCCATTTTTAGAACCTCTAAAGAATTAATGTGCACTAAGTGTGAAAGTGTAAAAAATTCAATTAATGTGAATAAACTTATTGGATATTAGCTATTTTCAGACAACTCACACTTTCAAAGGACGTCCTAAGAATGACGTTCTGATGACGACCCTCCGTCCTGAAAACGTCTTTAGAATGTATTTTTGAAAATTTGTGTTGTTTGGAGTGCACTAGTGTGCAATAGGCATTAGTGTAAAAGTGTGAAAAGTACAAGCAACTCGAACAAACCTATCGTATCGTGGTCAATCGGGTCCCACCAGTGTCGACTTGTGTCACTTGTTGGAAAGCAACCAAAAATAGAATGATACTATTTGTATGTACTTGACCGGAAAAAAACTCTGGTTGAAAAACTATTCTTTTAAATCATTTGTATTTCGTATGAAGAGTTTTGAAGTGCAATTAAAAATATTTGTGAGTTATTCTATTGTAATTCATTGTTCTTTTTTGGTCTACGTATTTAGCCGGAAATAATGACCGGAGGTAAATTAAACAAAGGTTCGATATGGTATCGTTTGTATTTTGTATGAAGAGTTATGAAGTATTATTAAAAAGGTTTGTGAGTCATCCAGATAATTTTAATTAAATATTAAAAAATCATTTATTTGGCCGAAATATCGATCTTAAGCGCTGCTGTGGAAGTACCGTCAGGCACAATCGGTATACTATCTAGTATTTCAATACTCCTGATTCTTTTTCGGGTAATTATGTACAATAAGGCCTTTTTCGAATTTTGATATTTTTTTGCAGCTCTTTTGGCAAAAATATTTATTTTGACTCCAACATTGATAATTAATCGGGGGAGTCCGAAAAATATGCAAGTTATATATCGTTTTAACTTTTTTTTTTTCACTTGTCAAACGTTACTGCTTTCCCACAATTTAAACAAGTTACTGATCTTTAATCATATTATGTAACTGCAATATCGAACGACTAGCGGGGGGCTGCGCCCCCCGCACCCCCCTCAAACTAACCCAACCCAACCTATCGTCACATTAACCGTCAGTTATTGTTTATTAAAGTGTTCAACTTTTTTTCTTAATAATTTTTTAATAAACACTGACTAATGTGACGATAAGTTGAGTTAGGTTTAGTTTTGAGGGGAGTGCGGAGTGCGCAGCCCCCCGCTAGTCGTTCGATATTGCAGTTACATAATGTGATTAAAAGATCAGTAACTTGTTTAAATTGTGGGAAAGCAGCAACGTTTGACAAGTGAAAAAAAAAAGTTAAAACAATATATAACTTGCATATTTTTCGGACTCCCCCGATTGATTATCAATGTTGGAGTCAAAATAAATATTTTTACCAAAAGAGCTGCAAAAAAATATCAAAATTCGAAAAAGGCCTTATGGCTCCTGCCCACAGGACGCGGCAACACTTGCCGCGCGGCAGAAGTTCGTGCGACAGCCAATCAATATGCTGCTTTCCGTAATAACTTTCTAGCTCTTATAGAAAAACAACATATTGATTGGCTGTCGCGCGGACTTTCGCCGTGCGGCAAGCATTATCGCGTCCTGTATGCAGGAGCCATTATTGTACATAATTACCTAAAAAAGAACCAGGAGTATTGAAATACTAGATAGTATACCGATCGTGTCTGACGGTACTTTCACAGCAGCGCTTGAGATTGATATTTCGGCCAAATACATGATTTTTTAATATTTAATTAAAATTATCTGGATGACTCACAAACCTTTTTAATGATATTTCATAACTCTTCATACGAAATACAAACGATACCATACCGAACCTTTGTTTAATTTACCTCCGATCATTATTTCCGGATAAATACATGGTCCAAAAAAGAAAAATTTATTACAAGTAATAGAATGACTCACAAATCTTTTCAATTGCACTTCAAAACTCTTTATACGAAATACAAATGATTTAAAAGAATAGTTTTCCAACCGGAGTTTTTTTCCGGTCAAGTACATACGAATGATGGTACTTGTGTCGACTTGTGTCTCTTGTTGGAAAGCAACCATAGTCAGTACAATAACTGTGTCGCTGCATCTTCTCGTTTTTCTCGCGATGCAAATTTACCACTGCTCTCCGATATTATATTTCGTCACGAATTTTGCCGTCTGGCATGAAGGAACGATCGATTATAATTTGCTAATCAATACGAAAGTTACCTCTCGTTTCTTTGTTGCTAGGGGAAAGTCAAGGTTATCCCTGATGTCGTGTTTTTAAATGACCATTGTAGTACCTTGCGATCGATACAATTTTATGTTGACACATAACGAGAAATGTTAGGACACGTTGATTCGCTAACGATCTTTCGATTGATCGTGTCTCAAGTAAGATTCTCTTTATAATTTAACACCGATATTAAAGCAACTAATAATTTTTCTCGAATAATAAATCTTTCTTGAATTAAGCACGCCAGTCGAAGTTCGTTCGCAGAGGACAAAATATCACGAAGAGAATAAATTTTTTGTAGATATATGCAGAGTAAAACAGCCGCTATGTGTCGATGCAAATACAAGGGATAATTTGGAAAAGGAAACCATGGCTCTGATTTTCGAAAATATATCGCATACGACATTTAGTGAAAAGCTATAGTATACGTAACATGAACTACAGCTTTTCACTAATGTCGTATGCGATATATTTTCGAGAATCAGGGCCCATATCTCGTACTTATTGAAAATAGAAATTTCATCGCTTCCGCTCAATTACCCACCGGCTACAGTCGTTTTTTTCTTTGCTTGTTTATAATATCTTCTTGTCGGAAGAAGCAACACATGTAACGGCAATTTTCGTTATGTTTATACGTACAAGAAGTAACGATCTCGAGTTAACCAGAGCGAGAAGCCTTTTCTTTATAATTTTTTTTTCTTTCATTTATATAAACAATCGTTTTAATTATGCGCTATCGTGATCACGATATAAGGAATACAAAATCACATTTACCTTCTAAAATAACATTGTATACATTGTTATTGCACTGTACATGGTTATTTTCCACAATTCTCTTCTCTCTCTGTAATTATCTTCACTGTATACAAAAACGTAAAGGAAAAATCATCTTGACACACATAACCGACCGAGGTGGTCGGAGATGTTTACAAAAATGAGGTTAATATGTGTATTGTTTGTACAAATTGACAGTATAAATTACATACTGTACAAACAATACGGGTTTGCGCGTTAAATATATACTTTGCATTTGCGAATGTGATTTACGATGTATATTACGAATTTTCCAGCAAATCGACGTGACAAGTCGCAAATTTCACTAGCGCGGATGAATTCATGCGGAGTTACTATTCCATTGCATTCTAATAGCAAGTCGCGAGTATTTTGCAATGATCAACGATTCTTACGGAAACTATATGCGCAGTATGTATGTATCAAAAATCATCGATGATAATAAATATGTCTCGAGATACTTAAAAAAGAAATGACATAGACTGCTAAATGTAAAGGAGACTCAATTGTAAAATTCTTAAAACTTTCTTTAACATTAAGCACACTCGGTGTGAGATAACGAAACAATTTTCTTATACATTATATATATATACACATACACATGTATGTATTAATGCATGTATATACAGGATGTCCTGCGTAAGACGGACCAAAAGAAAAATATAAGTAGAACACATAAAAGTGAACAAAAATTGTATAGGTTATTTTTCAAACAACCACGTAAAATTTCGAGATATTAATTAAGATAGTTGGACAAATTAGAACGCGCGATGCGACAGGCGGGACATACGGCTCGCAGCGGTCGGCGAAGAAAATGGAAAAACGCACACGTACACGGACGCACACACGGAGCTACTCATTTCAGTATGCCAAACGGCCCACCTCTCTGGCTTATAAGATAGGCCCGCGAGCAATCATCCATTTTCTTCGCCGGCCGCGGCGGGCCGTATGTCCCGCCTGCCGTGTCGCCGCACTCTGATATGCTCAACTATTTTAATTAATATCTCGAAATTTTACGTGGTTGTTTGAAAAATGGCCTATATAATATTTGTTCACTTTAATATGTTCTACTTATGTTTTTCTTTTGGTCCGTCTTACGCGGGACACCCTGTATAAGGTATCCCAGGCTCTCTTCTGCAATTTTTATAAGAACATAAAACGGATTGAGGTGAACATAAAAATCCTGTACCATTTTACGATATTCGCAATAAAAGTAGATATATTAATTGAAAAAGATTGGTGAATAATCACGCGCAGTATGATAGGTGAGCTAGTATGGTAGTAACGATGTGTGTTTATACATTAAGTCAAATTGAACAAAAAAGCTTTATTTTGTAAATAATGTAGATTTTTGCTTATTAATGTAAGAACATTGTTATGTTGATGATTGTTCGTGATAATATACAAATCTTCTTGAATTAATATTTCGAGATTTATTGTGAATATTACAAAATAGTATGGAACTTTTATATCTATCTCAATCCGTTCTACGTTTCCATAAAAGTTGCGGAGGAAAATTTGGGACAACCTGTATATATATGTATGTGTACATATAATTATATAATTTATGTATAATAGAGCGTGTATATACAATATATACATCGAGACGATCTTGTTTAACTTTCGTAATGAGCGAACGCATAGACATACGTACAATTGTTCTTCAATCATTCCAAAACGCATATATTCTCGTTCATTCATACTATTATACTTATAAACCATAGTCTTCAGTCTTCAGGCTGCAGTCTGTTAACAGTTCTATGTACACTAGGGCCATATTTACAGAGGGTAGGAAGTTGTTTGTTTAACTAAAAGAAGAGTGATCCAGTTTTTAACGTAATGACGCGAAGGCACTACACGATCTTGATGCTGATAGTATCGACGTGTAGCTTCGACAGTGTCTTTTTGACGCGAAGTGCGGTTAGACGAACTGCTGGATTCCCGTGCCAACACTCCGACATGATCTTTCCAAGGGCAAATAGGATCTGCAAGAGAGCAAGATAATGTTGACTCGTTAATCGATAATCCGTGCGGCGAGGATAATCGTGTTGCAAAGTTTTAACATCCAGGGGGACGAGACTTCGCTCTCTTCTTTTCTCTTTCTTACCGAATCATTGTCCCATCTCGTAGGAATAACCGGACGTAGGCGCTTTACGCAGACAGCCAGACGCATATCCTCGAAATCCGGATCACTCGGTACATCGTCATGATAAGGCAAGGCGTACGGCTCCACCATGGAGTTTTTGCCGCCCGTCACGCATCTTCTGCACGTCTCCCAGAACACAAGTCCGACGGAATACATATCCGCCATTCTGAACGCGTCAAAGCAAATCGTATTCAAGGTTTCATCCAGCACTTCCGGGGCCATGTAACGCCGCGTACCCACTCTGGTGTTCGGAGCGATGTCGATCTCTCCGCTCTCGCTACAAGCAGAAGGGAAAATATATCATCGATACACTTAAACTTGGAAAACAACTAGTATATTGAAAAATGTATTCTCCTCGAAAAGATTTATTTATTTATTTATTTGAGGTATAAGATGTTTGTGTACCTGATATAGCGAACAGCCAATCCGAAGTCCGCTATGGCGCACTCCCCGTTTCTCTTCACCAGAATGTTTCTGCTCTTGATGTCTCTGTGAGCTATCGCGGGTTTACCTTGCGTCCCAAAGATCTCGGTGTGCAAATGTGCGATACCAGACGCGATCGATACACAAATCGTCAACAAAGCCTGATGATCCAACACCGTTGTTTGCAGGTAATCGTGCAACGAGCCTCTCTCGTGATAATCAGTGATTAACAGCATCTGAGTCCAAGAACCGGTGCCCTTAATGTCGGCGGCAATGAAGCCCAGGATATTGTCGTGCCTCATCAGTACGGTCTGGTAAATCTCGGTCTCTCGGAACCAGGACGCCTCCTCCAATGTGAAGAACACCTTCACTGCCACCTTCTCGCCACCTCGCCATTTTGCGAGCCATACTTCACCGTAGCGTCCTTTCCCCACGCACTGCGACATAGCCAATTGCTTCGCGATGGTTTGCTGCACGAGAAGCGGCAGTCCTGAGCCTGATCCACTACTCTGGTCAATAAAGTCCTTAAGAGTGCCTTGTGACGGCACCAGACATGGGTCCCTCTCTTTCTTCCGGCACCGGTGATAAATGAATCCTACCGATATCGACAGGAGCACGAAGGTGACCGACAGGGTTATCGCCAAAATAATAAGCGGAGCTCCTGATGCGATGGCAATCGGATGGGGGGACACGGTGGGTCGAGTTTCATATCTGGGAAACTGATCCTTATTACACAGATTAGTATGATTACAGCACATTATATTCTTCTCTTGGAGATGAGGCACCAGATTTCCCTTGCACTGCATAAAACCTTGTTCGGCAGGTGGCAAGCAGCCGAAAGACCACTCGGGAACATGTTCCTGCAACTCGGCGTCCCACACTTCTTCCACAGCACTGAAACATTGACTGCCTGGCCGTCCCTCGCAAGTCCCATTTTGTTTGTCGTCTGGACAATGCCCTTCGCAGTAACAAGTGATGCCCAACACTGCAAGAGAAGATATCGATGCGTGATATTATTAGACGTGTCAGTCTGACGGAATCGAGCCGATATGCACGTAGGAGAAAGGAGAAGTACGTAAGGCTCTAATATTAATCGCGTGTTTAGTCGTTCGTTTTATTATTTTTGGATCGAGCGTGATCCGAGATTAAAATCTTTCTTTTTTCTCTGTCTCTCTCTCTCTCTCTTCCCATTTTGAAAGCGAAGGCAATAGCGACGAGAGACGCATCGCGTCGCTGAAGAATTGAATCAAACAATTACGTTACAGAGTTGCGCGAGGTGTGGTAAATAACTCAATGGTAATTGATACCGCGTGCATTATAGAGGAAACTGGGCGCGGAGTGTCGAGCGGATTCGAGAGGTTGTTTGACAAGTCATGAGATGTGTCTCGTGTAGGCGAACGACCGTCGTCGCGCGTCCCACGGAGGAGAGAAAGGAGAGGCAGCATACAGTAATAGTAGTAGTAGGTGCGTCCCGTTCGTAGAAAATCAGAGATCTTTCATGAACGTCTCGCGCTGATATAAACCGCGAACGACCGATAACTCACGCCGGCTGTAAATCTCGCGCACGCTCAAGCCTGATTTATGTGCATAGAGACACGTCGACGTTGTGCGCATCCGACCGGAACGTCTCCGCGCGAATATTTCGCGTACCACGTCGCTCGAAAAATATTATCCCGTTAACGAGTCGTTGGTTGCAGAAGGAAAAAACATCATGAATATGAGGCGAAACAGAAATTTAAGATATCGTCGATTTCACGCGTGCGTCAGATTCATGGAGGAGTCTCATTTGGAGGAATGCTAAAAATGTCCGGTCTGCGATAGCTATCTATAACTTTAAGTTTATATCATTGGATCGTGTATAAAATTTGAGACAAACATAACGGGCGTGACCTATAATTAGCGTTAAGCGTGATCTATAATTAGCCTCTGCCCCCACCATCGGCGGAGGATATTTATCGGTGCGACTTTTGACTCGAAGCTTTCCCTGTCTGTCAGAAAAAAAAGAGAAGCACTGGAAAGAGAAGATATGCTCGAGATAAATTTTCTATTTATTGGATCTCCTCGCGCCGCAAGGTCAACGTCGATGCGAACGGTCCAAAGTTAAACGTGCGATTTTGTCGCCGGACCGAGCGCGAACAAGCGGGGCAATGTTGCAGTGAGCGAAGGTGTAATCTCTCTCTCTTCGCCGCGGTGGCCGATAACGGCGAATTCGCTGCAAACACGGTGTCACGTTTCTAACGAGTATGCCAGCGACGCGTCGTCCGCCGTCCTCGCTCTTCCTGCGGTGGCGAAGGCAGAGACAAAAGGAGAGAGAGGAAGCGAGAGGCTAAGATGCACGGGAGACACGCGCGAGCCGCAGAGAGACTGCTTATCTTCCGTGGCGGAATTACTCTCCCGCGTCTATTTTACGGTGACCGCTCTATTTATATCCCGCGCGAATATCCGGATGACGGATCGATTCCTCGCACGTTCCACACTCGCTTCGCGCTCTTCCCCTCTCGTGCTGGGGTGCGGCGGAAGCTCGATTTTGGATTTAATGACGATTTCGAGCGACTCGAGAAAATATTTACATGAAATGAAATTTAACAGTCGTAGTAATAACAGGCAGGATCGGGAAGGCTTCCTCTTAAAAGTCACAATCGATGCCTTTAATACATTTAAAAGAATAAAACTGCAAATAAGTTGCTGCAAATAAGTGATAGAAAAGTAACGACATTCGCGCTACAGTTATTTAGGTTGCATTCCAGAAAACATTTCTTTTGAGCAAAGTTTAACTGAAAATCTATAATATGGACGTGAACGAAAGATTTACAGTAAAATTTTCCTAAAAAAGGACTTTTGGAATGGAATTTTAAATATAATTTATTTATCATTATCTTGAAGGATAATTAATAAAAAAAAAAAAGAACAAAAGAACCAAGCTGTTACCAAGTCGAAAAAGATAACTTTGTGTCGACTAAATGTTATTTCCCAATCTGATAATGAACGAAACGCTGATATTACATACGTTGTTTACCCTTACAAATGTTCTTACACGAACATTTTTCTTTTTCACGATCTCGTGGATATAATGAGGCGTAAAATCTAGATGGAGATAATTTATTAAACGTATTCTTTTCTTGTTTCCAGGCACGGCTAAGAGATTTACACCGCGTTGAATAGAATCTCAGCGACAATCTCATTCAAATGGAAGGTACAAGTCGCAGGAGCAAATCGTGACCCGCGCTTCTCAAGGCAGGTGAATGTCAACGTGAGGTGAACGTAAAAGCGACGAACTCGACGAGCGTAGAGTGTCGCGCAACCGACGAAAGAGATTCTGCTTATTCCTTACGTATCTCGAAACCAAGCGTAAACAGCTCGGTGGAAAAGTATTTTTCCACGTCAACAGCGTTCCGTCAACGCCTATGATCGCGTTCGCGACACTATCGTCGTCGTCGTCGTCGTCGTCGTCGTCGCGCGCCCGTCTTGGCTGGCGATTAATGACCCGCGTATAAACCTAGAAGAGATCGTCCGCGCGATATTTACATCACGAATACCGATCCCAGCCTTTCTCAGGGACTGCAATGAAGTTACAGTTATCTCTGGGGCGGTAAAACGATGGGGTCTTCTCAGTCCGCGTCTTCTGGAAATATTAACACATTGATTGACGCGCGTTGATTGCGTGAAAATTTAACTGACGATTGAATCATCAAAGATACGTCGAATCAATGTAATTGAAAGCATCTTTTAACCCGTATCGCTGGTTTTCTATTGGCCATACAGCTGATTCTCTAAATGCGATTAATTATATTTTACGTGCAACTTGTTCTTTAGATTTCTTGAAAGTGAAAAGTATTTTCACTCGAGACGACACACCGAGAGAAAAATATAGTTGCTTTCGGCGTCAACTATACTTTTTTGTGATTCTAACAAAAAAATAATTAGAAGAACCATTTTTCTAATAACACTTATTAAAATAATAGTTTTTCCAACTATTTTTGTGGTTAAAGAATATAGTTGACGTCAAAGATAACTATATTTTTCTCTCAGTGCAGTGAAAATACTGTCACTCGACTTGGTTAGATGATGTGCAAAGTATATGGATGCTTGATTAACGTGATGCGTGAGTTTGAAATGATTTTAGTATGAGAGGGGATGGTCAGATAAGGGAGAAATTATGTAGAAATGAATGCATAGATAGAGAGCGTGTAAGTGAAGGCGAAACAAGACGTCAAGTGGAAAAGCAGGATCAGGGCAGAAAAACTGCATAGGTATTATGTTGTAAGAGAAACGGATTAGGGCAGTGTAGGAAATAATACAGGTAAACTTAAATCAGTACAGTAATGCAGAAGAAATTGTTGATAAAGGGAATGTTTAACAGGTGATAATAGAAAACAGAAATAGAAGATACAACAGGTGGAAAAAAATTATATAAGAATTGAAGACGAAAGGTTTAGTTATCGAAATGAGATATGATAGGATAAAAGAGGAAGCAAGATAAACGGAAGAAGGATGACTTGTAGCAGCAGATGCTGTGTAGGTAAAAAGAATAAAAAAATAAAAAAGAATAAAAGGGTTGTAGGATATGGAAAACTTCTTGGCGACGTAAGCTGAGGAAGACGTACAGGAAGTGAAGACAAATATTGAGGAATCCACTTCGTGGAGTCAGTAGGAAGTATAGATTGGAATAATGAAACTAACAGTCACGATGCTCAACGTGTTAATTCCTACAGATTAACACTCGCCACTTGCGGCTTCTCAGTCGCTATTGCAAGCCGAAGAAGCGGGTGTTTGTGAATCGACCGGATGATTTTTGGAGGCTCTCCGACTCGAGTTCAGAGCCGCTGTTTATCGGTCTGTCCGTCATCGCCGGCGAGAAAAGCCGTGCTGAACTGTTTAGAAAAATGTCACACACACAAGCGTGCGTGAATGTATTCGTGGCAGCGTTGGAGCCGGAGCGCGAGGCGTCACGCGTATATATCTGCTTTCGTGCGGCTTTCGCGACGCAATCGGCGCCCGTAATCGCACGAAGGCTTCAATGAATCGCGCGCGCGGCGACGTGCCAGCTAGCCACGGACTTTATCAGCGTGGCAAAGAGCAGTATCAGCGATAGCCCAGTCGTGCGTCTATGAGTAACGAATCATCGCCAAGTTCGCAGGCAGCTCTGCGCTCTAGAAACGCGAGGCGCGCTTACGTTTTTGGGGAGAGAGAGAAAGAGAGAGAGAGAGAGAGAGAGAGAGGGGCCTGATTCCTTTCTGCCCTTCAGCAGCGAACGCGATCGTTACGATCGCGACGTTATCATTGCACATTGGGGATGTGATTATCCGAGGATGATAGACAGCAACGCGGGTTGATGATTTTCAATGCAATGCGTAGAAGAGGAAACGAAGAGAAGGCCATCACAGGTAGCCACGATAAGATAACAATGCACGAGATAAGACATTGCTCGAAATCAAGTTAACGGAAAGGAACAATAAGAGTGCGAGCATCAGGTGGGTGCAAATCTGCGAGAGCTAGCCCTAATCAGCATAAGAGGACGTCGATTCGCGTTACACCGGGCGTGTCGCGCTTTAACGAGAATAATCCTTCCGTTATCTCTTCCTCCTCGCATTACCAATATTTGCGATAGTCGATAGCAGGTGCGGTTGCACCGCGCGACTCTGCGCGTTCTACGTCCGGCGAGTGTCAGCGCATTTTTTGTTTTTCTCCGACGCTGCGCGTGCAATCGTTGCGCCTGTTGGGAGAAAGGTAGAAGGAAGGCGATTTCGCTACCACACACCACCGTTTCGGAAGCTCCATCATCGTATGCAACTCGTTGCGTCCTTCGCTGCGATGTAATGCTTTGATCCACTTATTCGGTTCCGTGGAAGCCCGTCGGCGGCGGCGCAACGCATTTTTCCGGCGCCGAGAAGCGCAACGCATCTCGGACGACGCTGCGCTATTTTGTCACGATAGAACGGCGTGCTCGCCCTGCACACACGTGTGTGTGTGCGCACAGGAAACTTAATACTCTCCGCGTCGCGTTGCTGCAAATAATATCTCGGCGAGAGAAGCAGCGGCGGTGGCGGCGCGACTCGCAAACGGATTCGCGCGAAACGCGTAACCGTGATACCGCGCGATCGTAATTTTCGCGGAAGGACAATCAGCAGCGCGGGTAATCCTATCCTCCCGGCCCGTAATCATCGTCCGCCGTGCTTTCCAGAGTATCTTTCCGGTGGAAGGGGCGTGGCGGCTCCGCCGCGAAAGGTGCGAATCAGCAATTCACAGCGTTCGCGATCGGCAGATAAAAAATTTAATAAAAAAGAAGAAATCAAAACCACACACATACACGGCGATAATTTCTTCGAACGAAACTCTATTCGAATTCGAGTGAACCATGTAAAAATGTTTTATTTATTTTTCGTGTATCATTGAATGAATGTTCTCACTCAAATTGAAGAATGAATTTAATGTGACTTCGCCGTCACAGAGAGAAAGCCGATTGAGACTCATATTAATAGTCTTTACTTGTCTCGCGGGAGATATTCATATGGTATAATCTAGGTTTATATTAATAGTTATTACTTGAAATAGTTATTACTTGTAAGATACTTAAATTCAGAATGGGATGAGAGTTTTTCAGTCGAATCGCGCGACTATATATATATATATTTTTTTTTTTTACATAAATTATGATTAATAACTAAATTCGAATCTGAGTATCTCATTTGAGTGGAATTTCAAGATTAACGATTATTAAGACCTGAGACATTCACTCGAATGAATTAAGAATTCACTTTAAGGTCGTCTAAAACATTCATGTTTTCAGAGACTTCGAGAAATTTCGGGAGCGCCAACGTTCTTACGTCACAAGGAGATGCCAAAAACCGTATTATAAAGGACACGTATTATCAGGACTAAGTCCTGATTTACAAAAGAAAGCTTATTTACGAACAGGACGTAGAAAAAATTTTGACCTGCTTTCTAGGAAAAGGAATAACAAATACAAATCAGTCACAAGTAGTCTTCCAAAAACTTTAAATGATGCTTCTGGAAGTGACTCGTAAATACAAAAAGGATTCTTTATCCATTGAAAAAATCTTGTGCTCTCGTATTGGTCTACTCATATCGTATCGGAAAAAAAGTCGTAATATATAAATACTTACAAAACATTGCGGCGTTAGCTACTTTTTTGCTGCAGGAGCAAATTCTTTTTGTACAACAGCAACATGTTCTAGCAACTTGGTATTACGTCGACCTCACAGCAAAAAATTTGCTGTTGCAGCAAAAAAAGTTGGTAACGCAGCAATATATTTTTTAAGTGTTCATATATTACAACTATTTTAGCTGCGACAAACAACTCTTTTCTTCCATGCTTGCAAAGTACTTTATACTCGCATCCATTTACCACTTAGCGAACCTGGGGTCACCTATTGTGTTTCCTGGGATTAGTAGTTCCCAATCATTCGCGATCTGATCGTTGGCGACAGTGACGTGAATGAAATTAAAAGAGAGAATCTTCTTGTTCTGGAAGATCTTTTGGATCTCGCGATGCGATGATGATCGACACATTTCCGAGAAGTATCATTCGGAAGAAGGTGCGTCTCTACATTAAGTGCGACGGCTACATTACGAAACGGCGTATTTTTACGCACCACATATCCCGGATACGGCCTGTACGCGACGGACACCGAGAAAGGCCGCCTTTATTCCGCGCGTTCATCTCGCGTGACGGCTCGGCGTGATGTCCTTGCCGAGGCTCGCGGAAAAAACGTTGTGCGTACGCGACGACGACGATATAGCGAGAAAAAAATGCGCGAGAGGAGAGAAAGGGAAAAGTGGGAGATTAAGCTCTCCGCGGTCGGGACGCGTTTGCGACGCCGAGAAGCGGAGTACGAAATTATGTTCGGCGTGTACACACGCTCGTCTAAGGGAGAGACGAACGTGTCGCATTCCGCTGAAACGACGCCGAACCGCGTGCACACGCGCGACGCTTATAACCCTTTGATGTATTTCGAGTCCCGTGCACGCCGCACGAGCAACGTAAACAATCTCTATTTTCTATGCTACGCGAAAGCAGATAGCGCGCCCCACACCATCGCGCCGCATTTAGCGCTCTCAAAGTGGTCGTCAAATTTCGAGTTTCGATTACGAGGAACACGTAGCTCGGACAGACGCGTTTATGGTGACTGCCATTAAGTACGGATATTAAGCTAATCGACGATTAATCGACAGAATAATCAACAGCAATTTCTAACTGATTTCTAATTTGTCGGTCATTAATGATCTGATAATAATGATGATTCTGTGTACATTAGCGAGAGAGAGAGAGAGAGAGAGAGAGAGAGAGAGAGAGAGAGAATTAACATTTGACTGAAAGCAATTTGAAATATAGCTGTAAACAGAAGACGAGAGAATGTTCTTACTTGTTTCAATAACAGAGAGTGTTTCGTTTTCCATGCTGGGAATTTTGCTGGTGTCAATTAGTTTAATCAGAATTTGATAAAAGTCTATTCTTAATAGCTAATTTTTCAACAGCAATTTAAACTAGTGTTGTCCATTTCGAAATTTGAAATATTTAAGTACTTGAGTAAATTCGGCTATATATTATTATCTTTTGTGCATGATAATAAAGAATGAATAAATGCATCGCTGTCTCGTAACTGCTTATAAAATTAAAGGTACTCTTCAAATTTCTTCCAATATAAATAACTGCTCAGAAGAGAGGACAATTTTATTATGCGTCCGTACGCCTTCTGCACATTCGCGTGACTTTAAAGTTCACTTAATAAGTACATGAAATAATTTGACATTTCCAAGATATTAGTTTTTTAACAATAATAAATAGTGAACGAATGCATTGCATACTCGTAACTATTTACTATTTAGTTGCCCGGGTAATATCTGTGGGTATTCGGATATTAAATGTAATACCGGCGAATATGGATACCACTCGGGTATCCGCGGGTTTGAATACTCAGGTGGAGCACCCGAGTTATATTGACAGTTCAAACTTAAATCTAAGTTTAAATTACTATTGAAAAATAGTGGGTGATTTGAGGTGATTTTTCCCAAACTCCGATTTACTAATTGATGAATAACTGGGAAAATCGCCAACTATTACCAGCTGTGCAACTTGTACGTCAAACGGTAATCAACAAGCGCATAATTTCCACGTAGAAACAAAGTGGATAATATTTGTGACTGATGGCTGTCATAGATCATCGATTAGAATAATCAGAGTGGCGAAACTTCAGTATGACTCGCGTATCGGCTGTTCAAAAGCACAATCAAAATTTTGGTTTATCTACTCATAGAGAGATAGATAGGCCTTGTTTACACCAAATGTTTGATATACGTACCCGCCCCAACTAGAAACTTTATATTAAATTATCTTAATTTTAGCGATGCGGTGTATTCAATATACGTCTTAATATAATACGTCTTCTTGATAAGTATTACACGAGCTTAGTACACCGTTGTTTATATACATCGTCCATATTAAGATTATTTAGTAGAAAGTTGCTATTTAGTACGCGTATCAAACGTTCGATGTAAACAAGGTCATAAGCTTACAATTTGAATATCGCAATACCGTGTACGCGCGCGTGTGTGTATGTGTGTGTATGAGGGAGAAAAATCTGAAAAAAACAATATTAGAAACGAAATTCTTTCTATGGATGAGCGACTTGTCTCGTCATTATCACTGATAAGCACTTAACAGCGACGAACGTTGCTCAACTGCAATTCCATACAGATCGAGAAAAGAAGGTATTAAAAAGGTGCTTGTGTATGTCGTAACCGACGCCGTTTCTTTAGAAGGTTAAAGTCTGGTGTCATCGGCGGCGATATCGAATCGCGCGCGACGATCAGTTCGGTATCACGCGTAAGCGTCCGAGTCTGTTATGCTGAAGCGTGAAGGCGACAGAGAAAGATGCAGTGAGGGGCGTACATCGAGGAGCGTCTATGAGAAAACGAAAACCAGGAAGAAAAGTGAAAAAGGTCGCGACAGTGGTACGGCCGGAGAACGGCACTCTCCCGAGTGCTCGACGAGAGATGCGGTGCGCGATTCTCGGCACCGCTGGTATTTCAGTCTCTAACCTTAGAACGGCTTAGAACCTCGTCTGCGTCTCTCTCTCTTTCTCTCGTTCTTCTTCCCTATCCGTCCCGTTCTCTCTCGTTCTCGCGCGCGCGACGTCGGAGTAAAAAAAAAACGGCCGCGTGCCATCTCGATGCAGGAATTCCTCTCGTGAAAACGCATCGATCGTGGGATAAGGAAGACGCAGTGTTCGCGAGAGAGGAAAAACAGAGTAGAAGGAGATGAAGTAGTGTTGCCGCGTTCGGACGGAATCGGAAAAAAACATGACACGGCGCTCGAGATAGAGACGCACGCGGTCATAGTACGCGCGCTCTCGCGCAGCGACTGGGGAAGTGTCACACACAGCGGTGAAGCCGTCGTCTCGACCGTACGAAGGGTGACCCTCCGAGATCGCGGCAAAAAGCGGCGACGGTAAGATCGAGGGCGCGCCGGCCAACGATCTTTCACGGCGAGGCGGAGAATCGGTCCGTCGTTCGTCGTGTTCGCCGAAGCGGTCAGGATGAGAGAAAGAGAGAGAGACAGAAAGAGAGTAACAAGCGTGCGAACCGAGCGAAGGAACGCGTGAAAGAGAGACAGAGTGCGTGCGAGAGAGAACGGGATAGAGAAACGCGGAACGAGATCATCGTCGTCGGGCTAACACATCTGCGTGGCAGAAGGCGAGCACGGGGACGGTGACGAACGGCGAGGAAGCCGAGAGACCGTGCGGAGTCGTTCTCGCGCGTTCCGCATCTCCAATCGATTCCAAGGCGCGCGCGGGGCCGGCGAGAGAGAGAGAGGAGACGGAGACGCGCGTTCTGCACTCGACGTTGACACGGGCGCGTCGGTCGCGCGAAACGACACCACGACGTCATCCGTGCACATAGATCGCACGCGGGATGGTACTCACCGCCGACGAATTGCACAATAAGCACTCCTAGGATGAGCCACAGGCCATATTTACATCCGCGCCGATCCGCAGTACCGGAGAGCGCTGCCATTTTCTACACTCGAGGGCACATACTTCACTGTGACGTAGGATGATTCTCGCCGCGCCGCAAGGCGCAGGCTGCTGTCGCTCGGCTCTCTCCGCTGCGACTGGGAAGGGGCGCGCCGTGTCGGTGGGGCGATGCTTCGTGCATCTTCGGCCGCACGACAGAGAGCGTCGATCGGCCGCGCGGGAACGAGCGAGATGGCGAAGGGGTTGTATTCTTGACGTGTATTCGAATGCCGTGCGTCCCTTTGATTCTCAGGCTGAAATCGCTTTGTACGGCACGCTCGTATACGGGAAACGGAACCTGGAATGAGAAGGATGTATTTTGCGCTCGAATACGCGTCAGGAATACGACTCCAGGAACGTGCTAAGGAACACACATGCACACACCTTCTGTCGAGCCCTAGTGCGATTTTCCAGCGCGATATGAGGACTGTGAGAGGGAACGCGGTGATACCGTGGAAGCGAATGGCTCTTTTCGACATCCCGCGATGGTCTACGATAGCCGTCAGTTCGATCTCCAGGTCGATACAAATTTGTATGTAAACATAACCTCTACAGGTAAACTGAGGACGATTCTGTAGGTTCTTTTTGCAAACGAATGGTCGTTCGTAATAGATAACGTTTACGTTGAAAAAGGAAAGTATCGTTTAGTCAGTAAATACTGATGTTTTTAGCACATGTTCTGCACTCTATTATCGTAACACAAGATAAGATTTGGCAATTATACCACTGCGGGCGTTCTAGTTACGAACGGGTGAAATGTCGACGCGCTTGTTTACTATGCGAAGTTCGAACTGTCGTGCTGTTAATGCGCCAAAACAACGTGTCTATTATCTGAATAAGAGACACTCAAATTTTAATGTATTTCTAATGTAACATTTTGTTTTTCTCTTCTATCTCTTAAGGAGATAGATGATGCGACTCCGCAGGAAATCGAAAAATTCCATTTAACTTATCGCTTAGGTTTCCAACATTCCAGAGATGAAAGATTAACGTCCTTTCTGGAAAGTATATCTCCACATCAAAGAGAAGCTCTGAGCTTGTATTGGCCTAGAGACTGCAGATTAAAAATTGCAGATTGAAGTTTAGCTTTCGAAGAATCAACAAACTTCGATCCTGGCTTGTTTTGTTCTAAGTCGAGTTCCGCACAAGCCGAGAGCCTTCAATCCGCACAATCCTCAGTCTCCAAACTATCTGATACAAACATTAGCGAATTCTAATTAAACTGGCGAAATTGCCAGGAGCAATTGCCAACTATGTAATTTGTTATTCAACAATATATATAAATCAAAGAATTAATAATTCTACATATCACCAATATAGCAGGTAATAATTGCTCAGGGTAACAATTCTCAAGATAAATTCCTTAATGCACAAATATCCAGAGGACATCGTAATCTCTGATTATGAGAATGTTCTAAGCATGTTTCTACATCTTAAGAATGTTTTCAGATAATCCCTAGAAGATGTTCTATTAAGGTTATCAAGGAGTTTAAAGGAGGAGAGAAAATTTCTTCACAAATTCTACATATTCTATGTTCTATTTTAGCAATTCTGTCGGCCAAATTAACTGTCGATCAGCTTTAATAAGATAGAAGTGAGGCCTTCAGATGTGTTCTTATCGCCGCTTGAAGCGTATCATTAGCGCGACAAGATTGCGTAGATGGCGAGTACGATCCTGGCGAAATCGTGTTAGAGCTGGGGAAGTGCGCGGCGGCGGCGCCCTACGGGCGCCACCGTGCCGCGGACGGCGGTTGGCACGACAGCAACAGCTACAGCAACTCTGAACAGTCGCGAGGAGATCTCTCCCTGCCCCTTCCTCCTCCGCTTTTCGGAACCGTGCGCGTTCGTGCGACGGATCGCGATACTTGGACGGACCCTCCGAGTCGAAGCGAGCCGCGGAGGGTCGGCGCGGCACGGCGTGGCGCGGCGTGGCGCGGCGTGGCGCGATGCGGCCCCTTGGAAAGGCGCGAATGTCTATGCGCGGCGCGTCACCGCGGAATCTAGAACCTGGCTAGAATCTGGAATCTTTTTCTTCGTTCTTGAGCGCACGGATAGCGGGATACCACGAGACCACGTTCACGTATCTTTCTCTGGTACCTCTTAGCGTTGCTCGCGTCACATCACGGTAATTATCAGTAAATAACTTGAATACCGCGGTGCATTGACGCGTCCAAGGGATACATTTTTGAGAGACGTCTGAAAAGACATGTTACTTTCCTCAGAAACCTTTTCACGTCTTTTGAATGTCCATAAAACGTCTTTCAGAACTTCGTGTTGTCTCGCTTGCTTTCACGGTAATTTGCGCGAAGTTGTCTACCTCGTCGGATAATATTCGTCGATTTGACTTGGCATCTCGCGTCTTTGGAATTGCGATCACGCAAGGAGGCGTCTTATCGAGTCTGTTTCACAGAATGTAAGCGCTGCAAAATTGTTGTCTCCCTTTCTTTTTTTTGTAGAAACAGATGGAAGCGGACTTTTCGGCGAGAATCGGAAAAAGCGACAAGTGTTCGCGATTGAGCTCTACAGGGGTGCGCATCACGCTGCGCTTTTAAGTAGCAACATGCGGCGCGCATGCTGCTAGCGCGTCATGCGACTCTCGGCTTGACTTGGCACGGCGTGACCTGCTACGACGACGTGTGAGTATACTGGTATTGATATCAGATTACCGGTTAATTGCCGGTGGCGCGGCATATGCTTGCCCCGGAAAATTGTTGTACTCAAATCGTAATATTTCACGCTTCAGGAGGGCCGTTCGTGCTTTCCGACAAACGACAACCTTTTCACGCCTGAGTCCCGTGGCGCGATTCTCAACGGAACGTATCATGAAATCTTCTCGGGCAGCGCGGGAGTCTTCCTTTTGTCGGTAAAATTGATGAAAGCTTTCACTTCCTGTGTAAGAATAATATAGAATAATAATTCTATAATATAGAATAATATAATTCTATAATATAGAATAATATAGAATAATATAGAATAAAAATTCATAAATATATAGAATAATTCATGCGCGATTCCCTCTAAATAAGTTGTCCCCTCTATTGAAGTTGTTAGAGTTACATTAAGTTATTTGCAACGCATTATAATTCCCTATGTGTATATTCAGGAGTATAACTGCATAATTATAGAAAATGGAGCAGGCGAGTCGAAAGTATCGCGATATGAGACAACCTTCATCTCTCGGCGTGCGTTTACAGTTTGTGCAGGATGAAAAAGAGGAAGATTCTTAGCACCGTTCTCGGATCGTGAATACCAACGACGGTACCGTGTGGCCCAACAAAAGGCGTACTGTTCGCGGTAGAACAAAGCTCGCCGTAATTCTTTCGCGCATGCAGCTGCCGGCGGCTACGATCGGGTCGTCATCGTGGCGTGGCGTGGCCTGGCGTGGCATGGCGTGGCGAGGCGAGCGCGAAACGTCGCCGTCGGCTCGCATCGAGATTAGGTCGCAACCGACGCCAATATATAAGCGCGTTTTACCCGCGTAACCTGTTGCGTGTGTGTCGCTCAAGCGTGAAGTCGCCGCGATCCAGATTGAAGCGCGCGCGTCTTTCGCGGTTAAAAGGCGTCAGTCATTATATTTTTAGAGATGATCTTCGGCACTTTTATGGAAAGACATCCATGCGCTCCAATCCCGCGTCTTCTCCTCCAGACGCGACGAAATCTACGCGATGCGTTCGCACGCATCAACTTCTCTTCGGCGAAACGAACATCTCGTCGCGGTCTGTGACCGCGAAATCAATTACGTTCAGGACGCTGTGCCCTTGACGGGTATTCCAGCTCGATTTTTTCACGGATCTTTTTAATATATCGAACATCAGATATCCCGGTTTGTATTCTGAAATACAATCAAGTATATTCTTCGCTGAAATGCTATGTTTATAACTGGTAGTTTAGTTATAAATACAGCGCTGTAATTAGCGAAATCTCTCGCTGAAATGATCAGTTAACAGTAGCGGCTGTTGTCATTATTGATGCATTTTGCGAACACAAACAATGTAAACACACGCGAGGCTTATGGTAGCCGTTAATTCCATCGTCATAACACGCAGAAAGCTGCATTTGGCATAACGTATAATGACTTTGTATGTTGCAGATTTCGCCACGAGCTTCCAATCTCAGCGTGAATGCAATGACAGATTGATTAAAAAATCTTCCATAAACAGGAATATACCGACGGATGAAATATGTGTTTTGGGGGACGAGCTTTGAATCAATCTGACATATTGTTTGTGGTTTGCGCTGTTCTTGCGCTGTCGCGTAAGAACTCGTGGACAGAATAATGAGGAGCCTCGCAGATCGACGGTACATCATGTATAACGTCGCTATTAGCCGTATGGAACGTCGCGGCGCGACTTTGTGGAAATTGCCGATGCGCTGCGCGCTATTTTCTCTGGAACAGCTCTTTCAGCTTAGCTTCAACTCAACTACTACGTCGTCGATCTTCAGTACGACGCGGGATTTATCCCTGCCCCTCCCGCCACGGCGTCTAGCGTGCAGTTATAATGATTTGCAGATGCCGGCGAAAGAGACTCGCGATAAAAGTCGCAAGCGTGCAAAGCGTGAAAGCGCCCGTGAAGACGGCGACGCCGCTTCCTTCGATGGTCCACGGTGTCTTACGCGCAATTTCTCGCAATTAGCCTACTTGAATGGGCCTCGCCTATCGTTTATTATCATTATCCGCGAGCGGCCGGAAATCGATTCGATTGCATCGACGATCGTGCATGAATTAAACGTTGCGCCAGAGACGCGAGGAGAGAGAGAGAGGAGGGGAACAGAATTAATCACTCTGTCCCGTGATCTATCGGCCGTTTCGCGGAAAGATCGCGTCCGCCCGATAATGATCCGCCTGCCTCCGGGTGGCTCGACGATTGTGCTTTCGATTAGAGCTTAATTATGAATTATTAAAGATCGCCTCATGGACGAGACAATCGGCGAGCGCGACGACACCGAGTAACGTCGGCCGATGAATATGCATCGTCCACTCTGCCAGGGAGTCTCTCTATTATACCGCTTGTTGACCGATGAATGATTGCTAATTGTCGCGGATAATTACCGCAAGGCTGCTCGTTAACTGTGTCCGCCGTGTCTGCGAGGCGGCTCCGAAGAAGAAGAGCGACCTCGAGTAAACGACTAGATGTTGGATCGCTCGTCGAGGGTTACTTCGATATTGTTGGTCCTTGTCTTCTTTCTCCGAGAAACGTGGAAAAATAATCTCGCGCGGGTATTTGGGCTGCTGGAATAAATTAGATCGCGACGTGAAACTGCCGAGACGCGTTTGCATTCTCCTCCGATTTTACAAAGGACCGTAAGCGGATTTCGCGAAATCGCGGCGGCCATCTCTTATTCATGAACGCCTCGGGTCGGTGATCATGTTGGCCCGCTAAAGGAGAGGACAGAGAGAAAGAGAGAGAGAAGGAGAAGAAGACGGCTTTTGAACGGCGTTAACGAAAAACGACGAGCTTCGAACCGGATTTTGGGATTAGAATCAGATACCCGTTCTCGGGAGCATCACGAGGCCACGTCCGCTCGTTTTATGCGGGCGAGGGCGACGGAGATCTCGCCTCTGCCACGTATCGTCAATGCGCGCTGGAGAGCTTCGAGGAACCGGGCGACAATGGGTAACAAAGAAGAGCGAGATCGTCCATGCTCCTCCTACGGCACGAAATCACGTTCCATTCGTCTCGCTTGGAAATATATTACTCTGGCCGGGCAACGGACGAACCGCCAAAAAGGAAGACTGCCGTCGGCTTGTTGTGCACCGACGTGACGCGGCGAAACACAATTACCACGATCGAATCTCTCTCTCTCTCCACTTCTCTACTCTTTGGTTGTTATTTCACCCCCCGTCACGGGCCGAGAATGTGATCCTTCGTAGTGTTATTTCTGATGATCCTCTTTGACATCGGCATGTAGCGAATCGTATTGTCAAAGAAGAGCCTTCGATGAGCACTTTTTTCCGAGCCAAGAATTGCATTTATATTGCATTCTCCAGCGTAAGCTCGAAAAAGTATGTAGAATAAGGATTAAACTGTAAACAAAATATCCAAATATACAACAAAATTATATATTTTGATTGATTTCAGGTGGACTTTAATATATTGGGGATTCCCTTGTGCTGGGATTCTATAACTCGTTAGTGCAGTTAACGACAGTTTTGTTATTGTTGCACAGCTTTTCTACGGTATACAAAAACTGCGCAACGATGACGGAACTGTCGTTAACTCTAATAACGAGTTACAGAATTCCAGTACTGGAAATTGTTTCGTCAGAAGAAAATAATTTTAAAAGGACCGCGAGAATTCTTCCGGCTTGAGGAAGAGAAAATATCCTCCGAATACGTCTAGAAAAATCTACAGTAAGATATTTTATCTGAGTTTACGTTGAGTGGGAATTGTTTTGTAATAATTTATTTAAAATATATGGTTCAAAGAACCTTCGAAGAAAAGTTTTTGCGCAAGTCTTGAATGTGCCTTCTATAAATTTTCCACAGTTGAATACGATCTTTAACAAGCTTAATATTCAAAAGAAAGGTTGCTCGAAGAATTTCACAGATGGTTGACAAATAATCCTCCACGAGTGTACTTGAATGCATCGGTGTGTCAAAAACAGGGGTCGAGGGTGCATAAAGGCAACAATGGTAAAGAAAGCGAACGAGAGACCTGGAGCTAAGCCCGGTCGTGCGTTCACTGCGAAGCAGACAGCCCGAAAACGCTCATCTATTCGGCGCCAGCTACACGAGGATCGCTCGTGGTAGAAGTATATTTCATTCGTCGGAGGAACGGAGGGTTCGCCGGTTCGAATGGAGCGGACGAATGGAGCTACAAAAGAGCGAAATCCATGTCTCGTCGCTAACGCGCTGTGGCGTCCGTAGGCCCTTGGGTCAGCCTCTCTTTGGGCCTCCTCGTTTCTTTCTCTGTCTCCCTCTCTTTCTTTTCTATGCACGGCGTAAATCTCAGGCAGGTATACGTCGAAATGCGCCCCTCAGACTTCCGAGTGATAAGCAGAACAAATAAATGCGTAGATAACTCATGTGTTAAAAACACATGTGCTTTTATATGTAATATTTTCAATGAATTTGGAAAGCGTGTTAAGGATGAAAGTTACAAATATCCATTTGGTTACATTATATTGATTTAGGAAGGATAACGGGAGCGCCAATAGAGAGAGAGAGAGAGAGAGAGAGAGAGAGAGAGAGAGAGAGAGAGAGAGAGAAAGAGAGAAAACGGAAGAGTGAAATTAGTGTGGAGCTTCGTCACCCACTCTTGGTCGTCGTAATCTTTTATTCAATTTGTTACGCGAGATAGCGACGTGTTATCCGCGGCGGCATTATTTAAATCTCCCTCGTTTAACCGTGGAGAGCTGATGTATATACTTCTTTCTTTTTTCTTCTTGCTCGCCGGTACACATTGTACCCTTTCTTAAGTGACTGGCCTTACTCGACGAGCGACTCCCGGTCAAGATTAGTCGGTAGAACATTGGATAATCGATCGTAATTGTGTCTATTTAACGAAGGGTCCGGAAAGCCGCCACGAGAGTGTAGCTCTCGCGTTCGGCTGGCATCATCGCTTTGCCGAACGTGAAAATCAAAAAGTAAATCCAACCACCGGTCGCGGTAAGAAATAGTCGACGTTGCGCTACGCGTTTTGCTATTATTAGCCGTCGGAGTAATCTTGGTGTTTAATCGCGAGATCTCTAATGAAGAAAAAAAAAATGGAGATAACCGGCAGGTCGGGTATATCTCTTGTTAATTTCCTCCAAGGATTCCCAGAGGTTTCTCTTTTTCTATCTCCCTCTCTTGCTTGCCCCGCTCCATCCCTCTCGATGCTCGATCCTGGATCTTAATCGACCGTCGTTACTTTCATCGTTGCCGTTTGGCGCCGAGATAATTAATCGTCCTGCTCACTGCCGCTTCAAGTGGCCGGCGAAGTGGCTGTGGCTCGGTGGTTTATCACAAAAAGGAATAACGAAGAGGCGCGCGGAGGGAAAGATGAGAGAAGAACAGACTCTTCCAGTAGGACGTTGGTAGAGTTGAAATGAATTTGCTCGATGGCTCGCGTAAGAGAGACGACGCGCGCGCACGACAGCTACCTGCTACGATAACAGTCCACTTCCTCTGACTTGGAACGGAACGTGCCTACGCATAACCGGGATAAGGATATCTTTAGAGGTTTTTATCGCTAAGAGTCAGGTGTGAATTGGAACCACTGGTGGGCCCGATCAAAGAGAACGTGCCGCCGAGCTCAACACGAAGAGGAAACAGTGGTCGGCTGAGATTAATCGATGTCGATCTGTCGATTGACAATACGTCGCTTCTTAGAGTTGCGGTTCCCAGAGGCCGCATTCGCGAGTCCTCGCGAATGAACGGGCAAACTCGACGAGGCACTGTATGTGTTTGAGATATGTGACGTTTGATTACTATCAGGCTCGTAGATTAATATCTAAATTAGCGTGGGAACCGAAGAAAACACTCGGCTGTAGAAAGGATCACTTTAGTTAATTTAATATAAGATAATCTCATCTCCCTTCCCTTCGTTCTCGCATATTCGAATCGTCCCAGAACCCACGCTTCTCAAGCTTGATCACTCGTTACGGCCGAGGGTCGACGCGACGACGTCTTCGATTCGTGAAAGCCTCGATTTGCATTCGATTTTAATCGAGCGTGATGTAATCGAGCGCTTAAGCTAATGAACGAGAACTCGCTGCGTTTAGCGCTCCGGCGAATATGCGAATTCGACGTAATGGCTATATTTAATTCGCCGGCTGAATGGGCTTCAATACGTACCGTCGTTTGCTAATCAAGCGCTTATCATCGCAACTAGGTATCCCCACTAATGAGACTAACAATTATGACAAGGCGAAATGAAATCGCGGAGGTATCTTATCGCGCGTCACGACCTCCGATTGAGAGATCTCGAATTATAGAAAATTAATTCCACGTGTAGAATGATAACATGATTAATATTATCGATCGTTGCAGGGATTAATCGTTACGCCGGCGGCTATTTGAGGCAGCGACCACGAAGAGATAGTGTCAGGTGTCGTTGATGACGAGTACGGTCCTGGAGTTCGTTTCGTCCTTATACGCACACACGAAAGACGGCAAGCGGTATGGGGGCATGGCATAACAAAGATTCATCGGGACCGGTTTCGTGTGCCGCCCTTTTTTACATTCTCCGAAGAGGCCCCGTCGAGCTGCGGGTGTGAAAACCGACACCCACCCACTTGTTATTTTGTCAAACACAAGCCCAGGAAATTATAGGAATCATACGCTAACGTGTGTCTCCTGAAACGCTTCTCGCGAGGTATTATTCTCTCAGTCGCACGTGCCGTTGCATTCTGTGCGAAAAATCGCGCGTATGTAATTAATAATATAGTTAATTATATTTTTACAAATGCGTTTTTATACGTTGAGAGATACAGAAATGTGTTTTACGTAATATATATTTCGCATAAAGCTTTTTTTATAGATATATGTTCCTTTGCAGAACGTTTTGGACACGTTTTCTTCACCGTACTTTGGAACACAACCGATTTTCAATGGAAGAATATACTTCTAATTTTCATAAAACCAGACATACCCCAAACAATTCTAAAAGATGTTTTAAAGACAGATTGGATGTCGGATGTATCTTGAAATGTTTCGAAAAAAGGATATTTGTTCTGCAAACGAATGTACATTAATATATAATATGATATGTGCAATCACAGTCGAGTTAGCACTTAGTATCGACATAAAAAGTATCTATTAATTAGATCAAATGATCGCATTGTCTTTCATAAGAGCACGTCGATAGTTAGTCGCGAATATCCATCCGCGAGTGTTTTGCGTGCGCGTTATTTTGAGTGAACACGGGGAATTTTCCCGTGAACAGTAACGATAATGCGACGTAATGCGATGCAAAGCGCGTTGATCTTAATAATAATGTCGCGAAATGATAGGGACACGCGTATTACGACACCTACCCACTTGTCATTTCGCTAAACACGATCCCAGAAAATTATAGGAATCACGTGGCGACGCATCTCCTCGCGTTCTCTTTCTCTCTCTCTCTCTCTCTCTTTTTCTCTGGGAGTCGGCTCGCGCGCTCACGCCAAATTATTCTCGATTGCACGCTCGCGCTACATTTTATAACCGTCAATTAAAAGTGACACCGGACAATTGCTGTTTGTGACCGATATATCCTTCTATATAATTCCGAATGAAGTCGCAAAATTTAATAGTCGCCCGGAACCGTACATTGTTGCTCGTTGTTATTCGTTGCGTGTAATTTTCATCAGGAGGTATTCCCTGTGATTACTGTCGATCGAAACTCGATTTCAATCGGAATTTTCGCCCTGTCTTCCAGATCCGCAGATATTCGTTGCGACGCACAGATATGAATAGATGTCACCCAGTAAGCAAGAAATCATTAATATAACGTTATTACAATGATATTCAAGAACTTGTAATATTGTCAAGTATATAGTGTTTAATATTGTATCAAACATCATTATGAACATACTTTGACCGCAATTTGGAAGTTTCAATAATGTTGAAATAGAGTTGCCATAACGTTTTAATCGTCAGAAATATTTTTAAGATGTTGCATTGATCTCAAATAAATGTTAAAGTAACATTTGAAAAATATATTTTTTGTAATGTTTTTAAAACGTTTAAACAACGTTTAAACAACAGAAAAATCATATCGCAAAATAACATGTAAAAAATATAAATGCAACATTACTAAAAAATGTTCAAACAATGCACATGAAGTCAACGTTTCTAAACATTAATTTAATGTTTCTTGCTTACTGGGCAGTGTCAGAATTGCTACTTAAAATTCACTCGGTCAAAGAAGAATTTTTCTTCTACCATTTTTTATGAAAAAAAAAAATTCCTTTTTCCTTTCTCTCGTCATAGACGATCGTCATAGACGTTATAGAATTTCGGGACAATCACCGAGATTGCAGTCGAGATGGCCGATGGTAAAGTTCATGGAGCTACTATCGCGTCGAGATTTATTGTAATATCGTTCTTTGATCGCGCAAGCAAAATACATCTGCGCACGTCATTTATCTTCGTGGAGGTGCATTGCTGACTCGAGACAACGTCATAGTCGTGAGATGCATTTCCATGCAATCATGGGAATCGAAAATTGCAGTGCTCGCGAGTATTCCAATCTCGCGTTACCGCTTGCAGCTGCTGTGGTAGTTGCAACGATCGCGAGGCAATTGAACCGAGACGAAATGCTACGCGGCGGCTAACCGCAGCTATTATTTTTGATGCGAAGGGTGCTGGGCACACCGGGGACGGGAGGGAAGAACCTTTTACGGGAAAGTCGAAATCACGGCCGGACACGACTCACACAGCAATGACCGCCATGAAATCGGATTGGCTTCAACTGCCAATCGAACTGCACTCAGTGAACTTCACATTTTCGTCGCGCCGTTTCTTACTTATGCGCGATCGTATATTCCTCTCTGTTATTCCTTTTCACTCGTCCCTCTGTTTCTCTCTCTCTTTCTTTCTCATCGTCGTGCACGACTACGCGAGAATTTTTACGTTAAAAAGGAAACACGCAAAAATAATCGCGTTCCAGTCGAGAGACTCGATCGTAAGACGAGATCACAGAGATCGGTCAACGATCGTAAAGATCACGACGACGAGATTGACTTTTTTCAGTCGGTAGAAACTACAAGCGCCCATCAGCAATCTTTTTTAGGTAAAGATTGCAGTAAAATTATATTGAGAGAAAAAAAAAATGGTTAATCTCGCTAAAATTATTGTCATTTTGACATGATCTTGTCGCTTTAATGAAAAAGTAGCAGTAAGAAAACGTATATAAAATTTGTTGTTATTGACATTATAGTACTACGCGTTTTTTTACTACAAAAATAAGAAAGAAAAGATAATTCTTTCATTAAGCGATTATAGTCACACATATTAAATATTTCTTCTCAGTGTAATTTTGAACCATCGCAATGCATAATTTTTGTAATAACAGTTTATTATAATGAAAAATAATTACCGGCTTATATTGAAATAGACAATTTCCATTATAAATAAAACGCAATCCTAGTAAGCAAGAAATCATTAATATAACGTTACTACAATGATGTTCAAGAACCTGTAATATTGTAAAATATGTAGTGTTTAATATTGTATCGAACATCATTATGAACATACTTTGACCGCGATTTGGAAGTTTCAATAATAATTGAAATAGGATTGCCATAACGTTTTAATCGTCAGAAATATTTTTAAGATGTTGCATTGATCTCAAATAAATGTTAAAGTAACATTTAAAAAATATATTTTTTGTAATGTTTTTGAAACGTTTAAACAACATTCAAAAAAATCATCACAAAATAACATGTGAAAAATATAAATGTAATATTATTAAAAAATGTCCAAACAATGCACATAAAGTCAACGTTTCTAAACGTTAATTTAATGTTCCTTGTTTACTGGGATGAATTTATACCCAGTAAACATGCATGTCTAAAAGATGTCGAAAAGATATCTAAAAGACGTCTTATGCAATAAAATGTTGCATAAGATATCTTTTAGATATCTTTTCGACATCTTTTAGACAT